CAGAAGATTTCAAAGTTCAAAGGGCAGCTCAGGAAGACAAGGAAAAGTATTATAATGAAATGTGCAAAGAGAATGTGTCAGAAAATCAAAAGGGCCGAACTCGCGTAGCATTTCTTAAGCTGAAGGAATTGAAAAATAAATTCAAGCCACAACTTGCAATACTTAAGGATGCTTTGGGGAGAATATGAAATGATTCAAGAAGCACTGCAAGAAGATAGAAGGAGTATACAGAGTAACTATACCAGAAGGAATTGTCTGACACAGAAGAATTTCATGAAACAATGTATGAGCAAGAACCTGTGGTGATGAAGGAAGAAGTTCAAGCTGATCTGAAAGAATTGGCAAAAAAAAACCAAAACACCAAACAAACAAAAAACCACAACACACAAAAAAAAACCAAAACCCCCAAGGCCTCAGGAATTGGCAGCATACCAATTGACATATTTCAACAAACAGATGCTGCCCTGGATGCTTTTACCAATTTATGCCAAGAAATCTAAAGGACAAGCACCTGGCCAACTGACTGGAAGAGATCTATATTTGTTCCCATTCCAAAAAACGGTGACCTGACTGAACACAAAAATTATCGAATAGTATCATTAATATCACATGCAAGCAAGATTCTGCTTAAAATTATCCAAAAACGACTGGAGCAGTACATCAACAGAGAACTGCCAGATGTGCAGGCTGGGTTTAGAAGAGGCTATGTTAATAGGGATCAAGCTAATGTTAGACGGATCTTGGCTGAAAGCAGAAAGTACCAGAGGAATGCCCGTGTTTAATTGACTATGCAAAGGCGTTTGACTATGTGGATCACAACAAAGAGTGGCTGACTCTGAGAAGAATGGGAATCCCAGAACATTTGATGATGCTCATGCGAAACCTATTCTTGGACCAGGAGGCAGTCGTCAGAACAGAGACAGGAGACACTACATGGTTCAAAATTGGGAAAGGTGTATGCTAGGGATGTATCTGTCTCCATACCTTTTCAGTCTATATGCAGAACAGATCATCTGGGAGGCTGAGATTAATCAACAATCTGCGTTATGCAGATGACACAACCCTCCTTGCTGAAACTGAGAAGGACGTGAGGCGCTTTCTACAGAAGATCAAGGACAACAGCCTGCAATATGGATTGAAGCTCAACATCAAAAAAACAAAGATTCTCACCACTGGGCCAATTGGCAGCATTATGATGGAGGGTGAAGTGATTGAGATTGTTAACAGCTTTAGTTTGCTTGGCTCCACAATCAACACTCTTCGTACCAGCAGCCAGGAAATCAAACAATGAATTACACTGTGGAAGTCAGCTGTCAGAATACTGAAAAGCAACAATGTCAGTCTGGAGACTAAGTTGTGCCTGATGCAGGCCATCGTCTTTGTAATTGCTTGCTTCGTAAGTGTCACAGAGGTGGACAATGTCTTAGGGATGATGGAAAGAGAATTGATGCCTTTGAGCTGTGATGCTGGAGAAGAGTCTTGAATATACCATGGACTGCCAGGAGAACAAACAGGTTTGTCCTAGAGAGGGTGAAGCCAAGGCTGCTCCTTGGAGGCAAGGATCCTGAGGCTTTGTCTGACATACTTTGGGCATGTTGCAAGGAGGGGCAGTGCTTGGAGAGGGACATCATGCTTGGAAGGGTGGAGAGACAGAGAAAGAGAGGGAGACCATCGATGAGATGCATTGATGCAGTGACTGCGGTAATAAGAGTAGGTGTGTCAGAAACAATAAAGTTGGCACAGGACAAAGCAGGTTTCAGGGCTTTTGTACACAGAGTCACTATGAGTCACAATCGACTCGGTGACACATAACAACAAAAAGCAATATAAATGTTGGAGAGGATGTGGAGAGACTGGAACTCTCATACACTTTGGTGGGATTATAAAATGGTACAATCACTCTGGAAGGCAATTTGGCATTTCCTAAAAAAGCTGAACAGAGACATTTCATAGGACTCGGCTATACCATTGCTAACAATATACACCAAGGAACTTAGAACTGAGACACAAAGAGAGATTTGTACAGGAACGTTCATAGTATCATTATTCATAACTGCAAGAACACGGAAACAGCCCAAATGTCCAACTACAATCGGGTGAATTGAGAAACTGTGGTACATTCACATGATGGAATATTACATATACAGCATTCAGTAGAAATTATTTTAAAAATTACTACATAACTTGGGAGAGACTAGAGGGCATTATGCTGAGTGAACTAACTCAATCTCATAAGGATAATTACTGCATAGGACCATTATTGTAAACATAGAAAAAGAATTAGTAAAACGTGTATGGGAATCCAGATGTGGCAGGGGTGTGAACAGAGGGGTGAGGATGGGCATGGAGAAAATGATAGGGTTGCACAATTTGGTGGGTGGTGGAGGGGTAAAGGAAATAGGAAACATCTGGAGGGGATCTGGAAAGACAGCATAACAATGGGCATGATGTAATGAGAATTTTATAAAACATAATGAGAATTATTGTATGAAATACAAATATATACAAACCTTGTAAGCAAACCAATGTAAAATTTAGAAAATAAATATATAAAAATACGGAGGAAAAAGACCATTGCTTGGATCAGGTGTACCTTAGGTTGCTTTCTCAATCTGCTGTAAAGATTCATTAATAATGTTGTGTATTAAGATCCTTTGGAGGCATAACAGCCATTGTTGTACATTCTGCATGGTAAGTAGTGATTAGGGACTTAAAAGTCTATGGGTGACCACTGAAGGTACAATTCTTCATTGTTCACTATCTAGATTAAAGGAAAGTTAAGAAAATAAAAGATAAATGGAAACTCAACCTTCAGCCTGAAGCTAGAAGAATCGAATGATGTCCAGATACCAGTGCTGAGTGCTGTAAAAGGCAACACGACAGAAGGTGCTGGAGGAGGAATGGGAGGAAAACGTGGAGCAAAATTCAAAATCACAAAAACGGCCAGAGTTACTGTTCTGATAGAGATTGACGGAGCTCCCCGAGACGATGGCCCTTAGCCACCCTTTAAGCCTAGGAAATTAACTCGTGCCCAAGGCTCTGCTTTGAGTTTAACAATGGACAGGCCTACTGGTGAAAAATAACACTGTGAGGTAGGTACACAGTCCTTAGCCCAACCAACCATGCACAATCAAAGGATACAATATGACCAGGAATACTTGGTAAAGGCAGGAAGAAACTTGAAAGATGAATGGAAATAAGAACTACATGAAATGCGAATTATAATATGGAGACTGTAATCAGAGTTCTAAAACAAAATGTTTGTATGGTTAATGGAATACAGACCTGCTCTGCAAAATTTCACTCAAATCACAAGTAAAAATGCAAAACAAAGCAAACAAAGGTTCAGTTATAAGTCATCACATCTTGAATCCATCTGACAGCAGTGTAAATCTCTTTGGAAGAAAAAAAAAAAAAAATTATATCCTGCAAGTTTCACTGCCAGGCTGATAGGGCAGCTTTTCCAATCCAACATGGATTCTACATGCATGTTAAGCCTCCACTTTCAGGCTGCTCTAGTCACACATACAACGTGCCTCTGATTTTAAGCTCTAATAAAAATCCATATTTCTTATATGGGAAAAAGCCTGGGGAAAGGAAAGCCTGGGGAAGGCTTTTCTCTCTCTGAGCTCTAGGGGTAGGGTAGTAGGGGTAGGTCCTTGTTTCTTTTTTTTTTTTTTCTGTTCCCTACCAGGTATCATCTGGTTTTCCCTAACTGTGCTCGCTGTCTTTTGTGCTTGATCTGCTCATTTTATAGGTAAAAAAGATCAATGTATTAGAATTTTGTAAATAAACTAGTATAAAAAAATATTAGCTAAAGAACACTTGTCCCAAAAAGGTGTTATTAATAAAATTTTTTACTTTCAAGTGGGGTTATATGCACATGCATAAAGGTTAAGATTTAACACACACTTTGAGGGACACAAATATATTTATAACTACATTGTTTTGCCTTGACATTATATTTAATAACTACATTATATTATACATTATATATTTATAACTACATTGTTTTGCCTTTACATTGTTCAACGGTCAATTAGCACATTTTTAAAAGTATATCCAAGATATAAATTCTCAGTATTGGTCAAATAACTAACTCTCAGAGGACATCTCACCACTTTACATGTTCTAAATCAGTGTATGAAGTGCTTGTTTTTCTATATGCTCATCAGCTAGCTCTATCATTTAACTTTTGATTATTCTTTAATAAAAATGTTGGCGTATCATAGTCTGGATTTAGACTTAAGAATGTGACTGACTTATTTCACTTATTTCTGAAAATAAGTATGTACTAGTTTTCTTCCGTAGGTACTCCTCCCCCCGCCCCCTGCTATTTGTTGGTCAATCTAATTCTTTCAGGGAGCATTTAGGAGTAATAAAATTTCTCAAATTAGGGCAGCTTCTGAGGGTCACCATTAGCCTCACTACGAGGAAGCCAGAAAGCGCAGAAAACCTCGTCGCAGTTGATGTCTCCATGTAGAAACAGCTGGAAAACATTAAGCTGAGCAACGACAAAAATTAGCCTGCAAATAGTTAACTATGTGAGTTCAAGACGAGTACCTTTCCAGTAGCCTACGGATGCACTATCAGGGTGTCCCCGAATAAAGATACCTAGGAAGACCTTGAACCCCGTGGACTGACACAGTGACTGCAGCAGTGGGCTCAAATGTGTCAGAGATGAGGATGGCATAGGACAGGGCAGGGTTCAGATCTGCTGTTCAGAGGGTCGCTATGCCTCGCACGCGACCCGACAATTCAGAGTAAAAACAAGGTCCAAGCCTTATAGCCCCTAGTTTGCAGGCCGTTCCCCGCCCGCCAGGAATTTCCAAGGATCAGCAGCTCCCCTTGCGGACTGGTTTGCAGGTCTCGCGACCTCTCGCGGGAGTTCCAGGGAGGATTGCGGTGACCTTTGTCCCTGCCACGCGTTTCCGGCGCGTTCTTTCCGCCTCGGTTCTGGTATCCTTTGCTTCTTTACCAGCTAGGTGGTGGCGCAACCGATGGGGCAACGCCAGGTGCAGGCAGTGTTTTTTGATCTGGACAACACGCTTGTTGACACGGCCGGGGCGAGCAGGAGAGGCATGTTGGAGGTAACGTCCTGACCGTGTGCGTTCCTGCCTTTGCTCTCCTTGCCCCGCTCCAGCCACGGGCCAGAGTTGCGAGTGTCGCCCCAGACGCTGCACATTCGGGTGACTCAAAGCGGCCCCAGAGCCCCCACACTATTCTCTGGGGTTTCCCTAAGCTGTGCGAACTTTTTCCTACCCACTGCCTGAGGAATGGGCAAGGAGGAACGGGGATATAGCCAGTGTGGGGAGGGTTAATAGTCTTGCTGTTTGCAGGCTCTGGAAGCTGGGTGCTAAATGTTTATTCAGTGTTTTGAAACCCAGAAAAAGGTCATAAAAATGATAATGATGGCAGAATTGCCCACAAGCTGTCACGCCTCACTCAGATAATATCACCAACCGAGCTCCTGACCCGAACAGGTTTGGGCCAGTCGAGATGAATGCCATGAGATGAAGTTTTTTTACCAGCTTTGCACTCTGTTTCACTGTCATTTTTAAAAAACAAAACAAAACCGTGCTTGTTCTTTTGCCAGTCTATTCAGTATTCTTCAAAGACATTAGTCTGTTTTCCTTATTCATTGTCCAACTTTAAGTTGCATACGTTAGTCTTTAACTTGATCCTGTCTTTGGCACTTTGGAGAGGCCATTTGATTTCTTGATTGCTTCTCCCATGAGTGTTGATTGTGGATTCAAATAAAATTAAATCATTGACAGCTTCCATCTACTATGATGTTACCCGCTGGTGCAGTGGTAAGGATTTTGGGGGTTTTGATGGTGAGTTAAATATCAGTCTTTAAGGTCTTTCGTTTTTTCCAGCAAGTATTTCCAAGACGTCACTTCTGCAAGCAAGGTTGTGTCATCTGCATAACATAGGTTGTTGAAGAGTCTTCCTCTAGTCCTGGAGGAAGAATGTGAGTCACGTTCTTTTCTGTGTAGTCCAGCTTCTCAAATGATTTGCTCTGTATTCAGATTGAATAGGTGTGGAGGAAGAATGCAACCCTGACACACAGCTTTCCTGATTTTAAACCATGCAAGATCAGCTTGTTCTGTTCTGACAACTCTTTTCTTGGTCTATACAGTTTCATATGAGCAATGCAGAGTGAGTGTACAAACAAGTTAACTAGTGTAGACACTTGGGGAGCCCAGAGAGACAGTATGCAGAACTGTCAATTTCAGTTGTCCCACCTAAGGGCAATGTAAATTCATATACTTAATTCACCCATTTCTGCATCTTACTGGTTTAGGGCTGCTCCTGTGGTAATATGTGGGTCCTGGTCTGTGTGGATGTGTAAGCCTGTGACTGAATAAAGTCCTTAAGCAAAGATGTACAGTACTTAACATTATGAAGCCATTGATTAGTATTTCAGCATGGAGCGGGCAACTTGAAATTTGACTCCAGAGATAGAGACTGAAAAAAGAAACTGGCAACAACAAGGTTTGGTAATGGAGTTTATTAAGGGAGACTTAACATATGAGGAAAAAAAGACATCATGCTGGTAAAGGTAGAAGGTCAGCCAGAGAGGAGATCTTTAGTGAGATGGATTGACACAGTGACTCCAGAAGTGCCCATGAGCATGGTAGAGATCATGATGATGCCACAAGATAGGGCAAGGTTCTGATCTGTTGTTCATAGGGTTGTTATGAGTTGTACTTGATGTTACTAACTACAACAACGAGTATATGAGATATACTCTGGCATAGTCTTTAGCATGTTAGTACTGCTAACGGTGTCATGTTGCTTGTCTCTGGTTGTTCAAACTTGAAAGGCAGCAGTTCCACTGGAGAAAGGTGAACAGTCTCCTCCATTAAGATTTACAGTCTCAAAACCCCAAAGGAGTGCTGCTGTAAGTCAGAATTGACTTGAAGGTAGTGTGCTTAATATAGGTGAATCTTAGATGATTGCAGAAGTAGTTGAATTCTCTGCCCCCCACCCCCCCAGTGGGAAGCAGAGCTTTTGGTGTTAGTGGTGGGTTTTGGGTGTTTTGGTTTTTATTTTGTGTGTTTTTTAATGGGTTTAATGAACAAAGACCAAGATGTGAGACTTACAAGGCCACTCCTTCAAAAGTTATAAGGGAGTGATTTAGCAAGCAGAAATGGGCTCTCAATAAGGATGACCATGTTCAGACTTGCAAAGCTTGTTTTCCCCTTCAGCATAAATGAGAATGATGAATGCCAAGGGGATTTGGGCATTATCACTTACTGTGTATGTTTCAAGGCCTATTACAAACTGTTTCATGCAGCCTCTTTGACCAGCATATATGCCTTCCATTCTAGCTTCTTGGCTTTCCCAACATCTGTATGTTTATGCAGTTCCTTCTATCTAGAGTGATTGCATCCTCCCATGCTAATTCGTCCAACTATCCTGTAAAATTAAATTAAGCTTTCTTCCAGTCCATTTCCCTGGTTCGTTTTTATAGGACTGTTCTTACACTTGACCTAACATTTAAATAGTGGAGATTTTTCCCAACATGAAATGTCCTTTGGGCGAGGGAGTTATTTTCCACTGCCTGTTAATACTAGTAAAAAGGCAATCATGTGGGTTTGAAAAGAGGTATGTATTAAAATCTGAGCTCTTACACTGTTTATTGTTTGATCTGAGTTTCTGTTTCCATTTTTTTCTACAAGAAACTCCATTTCATAGTTGTAGACAAGGTTAGAAATAGTATGTATAAGCATTTGGTATAGCACTTGCCACATTAGAATCCTTATCAAATGTTAGAAAGCGGGAGATAAAATGCTATGGAAAAACCAGAGAGGGCTTGCTTAATTCTAATGAGGGATTTTGAACAAGCATTACAAAGAAGTTAATTCAGAACATCTTGGTTTCCGTCCCCCCCACCCCATTTGGAATCTGAAAAATCAGATTAAAAAGAAGCCCTGAGTCATTTAAACGTCCAAAATCAAACTTACTGGGCTCTGAAAACACAGTGCATGCTCGATTTCATTTTGATTTGTGAAAACATTTTTAAAAGTATAGAATTTTATGTGATGGTTCTTTTATGTGATGATTAATTTAGGACTTTAAGATGTAAAATGAATGTAATTGAGAAATATTCTAACCTTATATTTTTTTTCCCCTGGGAAAAATAAAAGTAAGGTTATCCAGGATTTAAAACGTTTTCCAAAATACACACATTTTATTTCATATCTTCTCGACCACCGAGTTAATTCTGACTTACAACAGTTCTCCGATTTGTAAGAATGTAAATCTTTTGAGAAGAGATTGCCTATTTTTCTCTCTTAGAGTAGTTGGTGGATACCAACCACTGACCTTTTCAGTTAGCAGTGGAACACATAATACACCACATGAGTATAATTCCCTTTAGAATGAAAGATAGTAGATTTTAAACTGCTGAATGGAGAATTTTTATTTGCCAAATATGAAGGGAATCTTTGGTCGTCCAGTGGAGCACCACCAGCCCAAAGGCTACATCGCAGGAGAAAGGTGGGCAATCTCCCAGCCTCTGAAAACTCACTGGAGGGTCAGTTATAAATTGGTTCCAACTTGACAGCATATAACAACAGAAGAAGAATATTTTGTATTCAAACCTAATATGTAAAATTATTTTTTATAAAAATAAATATCTTAAGATTTAATTTTTATAAAGGTATTTTTTTACTAGAGACCTCTGTTAGATTGTGGCATTTTTTGTTTTGTTCTTTTAAAATAAAGCTAATCATGACCAGAAATGGTGTGATATTAGAATTAAGGTAGAGAGTTGGAGTTAGAATTTCTTAGCCACTTTCTGCTCTAGGTTCTTCTCAGGGTATAACTGTTAAAGATATGAAATGTGTTAATGGAGTAATTTTTCTTCATTTAGGTGATAAAGCTCTTAAAATCAAAATATGATTACAAAGAAGCAGCCGAGATCATCTGTGACAAAGTTCAAGTTAAACTCAGCAAGGAAGGTTTTTATCCTTTCAATACATGCATTACTGAACTAAGAACTTCATTCTGGGAAGAAGCAATCCAGGAAACAAAAGGTGGTGCAGCCAATAGGAAATTGGCTGAAGAATGCTATTTCCTATGGAAATCTACCCGTTTACAGCATTTGACCTTGGAAGAAGATGTCAAAACTATGCTTACTGAACTTCGAAAGGAGGTCCGCCTGCTTCTGTTAACCAACGGAGACAGGCAGACCCAGAGGGAAAAGATTGAGGCTTGTGCCTGTGAGTCCTATTTTGATGCTGTTGTTGTAGGTGGAGAACAAAAAGAGGAGAAACCATGCTCTTCCATATTTTACTATTGCTGTCATCTCCTTGGAGTACAACCCGAAGACTGTGTGATGGTTGGTGACACGCTAGAAACCGATATACAAGGCGGCCTCAACGCAGGACTGAAAGCAACAGTTTGGATAAATAAAAACGGAACAGTGCCACAAAAGTCATCCCCTGTGCCCCATTATATAGTTTCTTCTGTGTTAGACTTGCCTGCTGTCTTACAAAGTATATACTGTAAAGTCACTTTATCAGTTTAAAGAGCGTTTGAGTCAAATTATAGAGGTTGAAATAAGAGGAATTAAGATATTCCATGTTCTGTGGACCAATTTCTACAAATAATTTTGCTTTTCTAAAATTGTGATTCCATAACTGTTGTGAGAATCCTCTCAATCCAATTGCTTTTTAAGTTTTGATAATCAGTAATTGATTAGTTTTTATTTCTGGAAG